AGGATATCATAGATTTCGAGGGGATCGACGGCGTCGTCGGCGTGGGGATCGTCTGTACGGGCGAGCCTTTCCTTCTTAGCGTGGACCACCGGATTAGCGTTGATCAGCCCCAGAGTCATCTCGGAATCCTCTCTCCGATTATCAGCTTGGGTAAAAGAAAAAAAAAATAAAAATAAAAAACTCACGTGACTCGGTCGCGGCACAGTGCAGGCAATCACGCGTCCCAAGTCCCAACAGAAGACTGAAAAATTAACAATGAGGGTGTACAGTTACCATGTGCCACAGCCCACAGAGTCGAGAAAAAGTCCTTAGTTTTCTTCGCTGGTTTCTGTTTTTCAACGCCGATGTGGAGCAGGAGGAAGATGAAGTATGTATGCTGTATTGCAATTAAAATGACAAATAATATAAGTTTTAAGGAGATTGATATGAAATTAGATTTCCAATTTTACCATTTTTTTATTACAATACTGGTGTACTTGCCCAAAATAACTAGAGCACGTTTACACAGGACTACGTTGGAAGGAATGCTATGGAGCCAATGGTTTACTTCTTCATGAAGTCAACCACTAATGTTATAGTGCTACGTAGGTTATGTGAAAAAATAATTAACTCCACATGGCCTACGTGACACTATAACATTGGTGTTTGGCTCCATAAAGGAGCCAACCATTGGCTCCATAGCATTTCTCGACAATTTTTATCTACAATTGTATTGTACTGTAGTGCCCCATTTGTTTTCTTCGAGTTCTCGTATTTTATTTGCTTATTTGCATTGTGTTATGTTTGTGTATTGCTCGACACATCTTGTTTAGATTTATTATAATTAATTAGATGTCCTCGTCTAATCTATATCTATTGTTGTGTACAAATTGTTATATTTTACCGAGTACCGAATCAAGGATTCGTTTCCCGGGTCGATCTCTCGAGGAAGGCGATTCGGAATTTAGCTTTGGTAATGATAACACATAAAAAGAAAACAAAATCCTAAACACTCTAATCAGATAGGGGTTTTGAATAATTACTAACCAAGAAGTAATAAAAAGCAATAATCTACCTAAAAATGTGAATGAAACAAAGATGGAGAAGATAGGGAATCGGGGATAATTAATTCAAATTCTAGCAAAGCCGGGCAATCAATTGTTCAGTTCTAGATTGACACTCTCGCTTAAACATCTAGTGGTTCGCTCCCAATAACTCTTCGTAACAAGGGATTGAACATAGAGGAACAAGCTCGGGCATACAACACAGGCCAATTATCCTAATCCAATAACTTTTCGTAACAAGGGACGAGTCATTGACAAGCACGTATTTCAATCTCAACCCATAGATTATTCAATTACGAAATTATCTATCTCATGCAAGTCTAGGTCTACGACTTCTCCCCTTTCGGTTCAAGAGGTCGCTAATTTAATTAGAAGGAGTTTAATCAACTAATCATGGGAATCAACAAAACCAAACTCGACAACTCAATATCCAATTGTTATCAACTGCAAGATCGAAGTGTCACCCTTCGATTACATCAAACTATCAAGCACAATTTCATCAATTCCTAATCAATTCAATTCACAAAAGAATGAACAAATCGAGCCCGACAAATGCACGTTAAACAAGAACAATCATCCCTTATCCCTAGCAGAAGGAATTAGTTACGTAAATCAAATTCAACAAACATATTCATTCTACTCAAGTCAACAATTATTCATGAATTAAACAAGAGAAAGAAATACTTACAATCAATCCAAGTTCAAATGCTGAATTCGAATTACAAGCTTAATCCCTAACTAAGAAAAGAAGAAGAAAAATGAAAAATAATGATTAAGAGAAGAAAAGGAACAAGGAAGAAGAAGAAAGAAAGGAGGAGAAAGAGATTTTTTCTGTTTTCTGGGGACCTAGGGTTTTCACCCGGTCAAGAGAGACATCCTTTTGTGTGAAGTCCCGAAGTGCTTATATATGCCGAGAAATTGCCGCGGGCGTGAGGAATCAGCACGGCGTGGAGCGCTTCGGTGTCGCGGCGCAGAGAGTCTGGCGCGGCGCGGTGGGAGTTAGGTGTAAGCTCTGGACGTCCGCGGAGGGTAGCACGAGTTGGTGCCGCAGCGCGGCAGGTGCTGTCTTCGCGGCGCGAGGGTAGGGCACAGCGCGGCATTGGGAAGGGGCTTCAGTCGGGGTCGTGGCAGGCAGCGCGGCGCGGTGCGGGGCACGGTGACTTGGGACTTCACGTTTCGGAGTCGTTCGGGCTTGTCTGGTATCAGAATTGAGTTTCGTTTTTTCCTGTGTGCTCCCGACGAACTCCTCTATCTAATTACGCTTGCCCAACTAATTTTTGCCTGAAATCCGGTCCTCCTGAAGCTTTCGACCTACACACCATAAACAAAGAAAAACCGGAAAAATACACGGAAAACACACGAAAGACCAAGAAGAGAGCAAACACGAAATAAACTATAAAATGAACTAAAACTCATGTAAACGACCTAAAATGGGGGAAAAAGAAAGGAAAAATAACAAGGAAAAACGCAACAAAAATGGGACAAACAACTCCCCCACACTTAAACCTTTGTTCGTCCCGAACAAAAAGAAAAGAAAAGACACGAAAGTAAGCGACGAGCATGGATAACAGTTTCAAATAAGACAAGCCTCAAATTAATCAACTTAGCCGAGGAGACTTCCAATGACCAATATAGCACACCTCAATTACATTCAAATGCAACATTTTGATAACACAGACGCTCAAGCATGATAGTACCAAACATATATGTCTCACTCTGTTTCTTTCATAAATATGAAGTGGATACGCTCAAATTGGCCGATCATCATGCATCAACATAAGCTTGCTTATCGTCTATCCATACTCTAAAACAATCAAAAATCATGAAGTGCAAATCAAGAGGACTTCTGGGGTTGCAATAAAGGCAGTTTGCACAAGGGAAAGACCAAAATGAAGAATAAGAGGCTCAAATAAACAATCAAATTTGTTGTGTACAAATTGTTATTTTTATCGAGTATTGAATCGAAAGATTTGTTCCCCGGGTCGATTTCACAAGGAAGGCGGTTCGGAATTTAGAAGAGGTATTGACAACACAAAAAAAAGGAAAACAAATCCTAAACACTCTAATCACGATTGGGGTTTGAGCTGTCAACTAGAAAATAACAGAAAATGCATAAAGCATAAATTAACTCAAAAACATGAAACAAACAATGATAAAGAAGCTAGGGAGTCGGGGATATTTGTTTCGATTCGAAATGCAATTAACGGACAAGTGATCATTCGGTTAAAGGATTCGAATAACCTACTCGTTCAGAGATTCATCCTCAATAACTTTTCGTAACAAGAGGATAAATGTGAACGGAAAATTCACGAGTCGTTTAACACATAGGCAATACGGTTACGAACAAGCCTATTTTATACGAGCCAAGATCGATCAACTCCTCCCCTTTCGGTTCTAAGAGTCGATTAAATTGGACTAGAAGGTGGTTAATCGACTAATCTTTAAGAATTAACAACATCAAACCCGAATGAATCATGTCCAATTGAAAATCAATTGCAAGTTGAGGTGTCACTCATCAACAACATTCAACAATCAAGTATGATAACCGAAAACCCTTTTAAAAACAACTCGCATAAATTGAATGATTCAACAAGCACGATAATCACAATCGAATTCAAAACATCATCCCCTATCCCTAGCGAATCGAATTAATTATTCATATTCAATGCAACACAATCAAGCTCAACAATCACAACAATCATATTCATGGATTAAATGAATAGAAAAACTTACGATTAAAACGGTATGGAATGTTGAATCCGAGATACGAGATTAATCCGAAGGCAATAAAGAAATCAAGATGAAAACCAAGATCAATTGTGTTTTCTCAGATGAAAATCAGGAGAAAAACGAGTTTGGGGTGTTATTTTAGGTCTGGGAACGAGTCCCAGTGCAAAGTCCTCGAAAAAAATGAACAAAACCTAGCTTTTAAAATTCTGGTCGCGACCTCCGTGGCCGCGGGAAGCTCTGAGGCCGCGAGATTTCAGCTGCAGAAGGGCTCCGCGGCCGCGGGATTCCTCCGCTGCCCGCGGTGAAGAAAATTGGGCTGCTGCGCGCGGCTTAATGTTTCGGGCTCGTTTAGGCTCGTCCGAACTCGGAATTGAATTTCGTTTTTCCTACGCGTCGCTAACGAACCCCTCTATCCAATTATGCTCTCGAAACCAATTTTTCCTGAAGATAAAGTTCGTCCGAAGCTCCCGACCTACACACCAAAGACGACAAAACACAAAAACAACCGAAAAAACAAACGAAAAACACTTAAAGACTCAAAATGAAAGAAAACACATAATAAAACCCGAAACAAACTAAAAACGAAAGAAACGACCTAAAACGGGGGGAAAGGAAAAGCGAAACGAGCATAAAAAATGCAACAAAAATGGGACAAACAACTCCCCCACACTTAAACCTTTGTTCGTCCCGAACAAAAAGAAAAGAGAGCAAGACATGAGCATGAATACAGATTCAAATAAGAAGAGTTTCAAAATGTCCAAGTCAACCAGGTCGAATTCCAACGACCTTGAAACCATATGCCTCAAATTTAAACTTGGCCTCGAAATGACAAACTCTCAAATGCATAGATTATAATATAGGCCTCACTCATTTTCTTACATGAATATGTGATAGGTACACTCAAAATTGGTCAATATTCAAGTTTCAACATATGCTTGCCAATCGTTTAAATTACTAGAAAACAATCAAAGCTTGAAAGATGCGAATCAAGAGGACTTCACGGGTTGTAATGTGGCTTAGGTAAAGGTATGAATATATAAGGACAAGAAGCTCAAATAGACAATCAAGGTTCTCGCGTATACTCAAGCATTCCGCTACTCATCCCGAATCAACAAGGCAAAACACTTACTACCCAACCAACATTCCACAAACAACACATAGATGCTCAGAACAAGTTGCAACATCATCACTTAATCTTATTTTTTCTTTTTCTTTTTTTTTATATTTTTATTTGGAGAGTAACTTTTTCCAACAAGATTGAATCAAAAGGACAACATTCTGTAGGTGTGAACATTGGAGGTCATCCAAGTTTCCTACAGTAGTTTCCCAATGCTCATTGCCTGTCAAAATGAATCGACTAGTAAGAGGAGCAGAATCCATTCGATTCGTCCTGTGAACTCTCAATTTTTTTTTATTTTTTTTAATATAGGTCAAGCAATAGAAATCCAACTCCAATTCACCTCATTCAACAACGACACCATTTTCACCAATCATCACAAAATCAGTCAACAAAATACATTATATGCATGGCTGACAAGAAAAGGCTCAAGGCTCAAACGGGCTACTAGGTAGGGTCAACGAACAAGGCTAAAAAGAGCTAATCAAACAAAACGCCTCAATCACTTTCGCAATTTCAAACTCTAATCGATTCCTTTCAAACAAACTCGAGGCA